ACTGTGGCAGAGGATGGGGACTGTGGCAGAGGATGGGGACTGTGGCAAAGGATGAATTTGCTATTTGTTGTGGCTTGTAGGGGGAAGCCTGGGCTAGTGTGGAGACAAGCATATCAACCTTGTGTGCTGTGTTCTCCTTTATCTCTCCTTCTTCCTATTCTACCCAAGCACTGGCCAGCTGGGCTCTGCTTTGTAAAGGTGCCTGCCATTCCCACACTGAGCTTTGTTGGGGTTACAGTCCCTGTGTGGAGCAGGAGGATAGCATCCCACATTGGCTGTCTCATGACCGGAAAGTCACTGAGCACTGGGAGACAGTGAGGAGCCTGAGGGCAGGCTTGGATAGCTCTCATCACCGAGGCTTTTATGGTGCAGAGGTAGTTTTTAATCGCTGTCACTCATAAGGCTCTCTTGTCCCAGTTTATCCATGTGTGTTTGGACCCGAGACGAACTCACAGCCCTTTTCTGGCTCACCTTGGGTTAGGACAGAGCCTGACAGTTTAATTATTCCCCTATGACTGACGGGTGGGGCTGACGGGGGATGAGAGCTGGAGGGACCACTTCTGAGTCAGCGTGCATCTCAGAAGAGATGAGTGCAATTTGCAGGGGAAGAGAAAGATTATACACTTGACCCTTGGCTGCCCTAAATGTGTAAACTGGCTCTGGGGGGCGGGGGTGGAAGAGCAGAAGTGGTGATGCCAGAAAAATTCCCTTTGGGAGCCCCTGGGCTTTGATGAGTTCAGCTGCCTCTTCGCGGCGCCGAGAAACGGTGTGGTGGTGGGGAGGCACAATGAGAGGTGCTGGTGTCTCTCCACAACTGGCAGTGGCACTGATTTCATGGATACCACAGTCCCAAGGGTGTGAATGAAGCATCTTGTGGGGCAGTTCCACATGCAGCTCTCAGAGCATCAGCAATTCCATGGGAAAAGCTGCTTGCTTTCCCAGCAGTGCCGTTTCCTTCTGCAGACGGTTCACTTTCGCAGGGTGGGTGCTGCTGGTTATCATGAAGTGTTGGTTGAAAATATTTCTTGCTTTGCACAGATTGAAAAAGAAGAAACAAACCAAACAAACCAAGCGAGTGAATCACAGCCACCTCCTGTTACAAGAGCATGACACAAATAGCAGGCATGGGTGAACTAATGGAAGTTGTGGCCGCTTCACTGCAGTGCTCAGAGCTGGGAAAGGGGCAGGGGCAGAGCAGTGACAGCTCTGTGTCAGTTCTCAGGCAGATTCAGGGCTAGAACTGAGGAAAAACTGGGCTGGGAGGACTTTTTGTCGGTGATGTAGTGCTGCACGGTTCCTTGAGGCAGGATAAATTGAATCTAAACCTGCATACGTGATGCTTTTTAAAGCAGCTTGTATCCAGAAAAAGGCCTCGGAAGGAGGAAATAGCTCATTGTGTGGCCAGCTCTCTCCAGTGGAGCTGCATCCTATGGTATGCAGCTATTCCTGGTTGCCCTAGAAATAGGACTTTGTCTTGTTCAGTGCCTCCAATTTTGCCTTTTGCTCTCAGCTCCACCCAGTGTAGTAGGCTGTGTCCGGTGTGTGATGGGACAGAGGTGCTGGTATACTGCTGAGCATCCCCTGCCATTGCTGAGTTTCAGAGCAGCTTAAATCTGCAGCAGGAGGCTTCATAGAGCTTTTAACGTATTTAGTATCGCTGTTAGCAGGGCTCTGGATCTCTAGTGCTGTAGATACCTGGTCCCAAATCTGAGCCCTATCATCTTGCAGCTTCCTGTAGCTCTGACTCCACTTAGTCTGGGTTTAATTTTTACTTCTCTTGTTGACAATGTGTGTGTGTATATTGGGAGGGAGAGTGAAGCAGGTGCTTAGGGAGCTGGGGGAGTTTCCTGCTTGAATGCATAAATAGTTCCAGACAGAAGTAACCTTGGCTGTGGGCTGAGAATGGAAGTGAGAAAAGTGATATAGGATGATGGAGGTGAGCAGAATGGGGCTGCTTTGTCGATCTGCATGGCTGAGGACCAGCTGACATTCATTGCAGGGATGGGAATCTACAGCAGCAGGTCTGGGGGACACCAAGAGCACTGCAGGGCTGGGTCCCTTTGCTGTGTGCTCTCATCTGCTTTGTGCAAAGAGCTGAGGCTTCGTCCTTGCTCCAGTGCCATACATGTGCCACCTCCTCACCTTGGGCAGGAGCTTGGGGTGGCAGAACAAAGCCCTGCAGCCCAAAGGGGATGCTCCTTTGCTGCAAACTGCAGTGCTGTTACCATCAGCAGGGAGATGGCTGCCAATTAATGTAAGTGGCTGTTTGCTGGTGCGTGCACACAAAGGTGCTTGTGATGATCTTTATCCCGGAAGGCTTTTTGTGATAACCAACCTCTGGAAGCTGATTTCCCTACAGGGAGGGGCAGCCAGGCTCTTTACATAGAGCTCTCCTGCTAAAAGCATCCTTTTGTTCTGGTTATTCCGGTGACCATATAATGAAATTCCATAATCACAGAGCAAAGTTCCCCAGCTTCCAGCAGGAACATGGCACAGTTTGGGACTGTTATTACAGAGAACAGCTTTGGGGAGGTAACAAAACCTGGCTCTAAATTTAGCACCCGCAATCCGTGGGGTGCAGCCAATTCAGGGCTGTGGGGAGGAAAGCATCCCTGCTTGATGTCAGTCCTTGCCTCTTGTAGCCACCTCCTGGGGCACTGGGGATATCAGATTGGCTCGGAGCTACAGGCTGCAGAATTTGGGGAGGGGGGACCTGCAGAAGGGGCTGGGGCATGGTGATAATTCATTGGCACGCCTCCTTCCCGCTGCCTCAGCGTAAAGCTCTGCAGTGCCTGTCATACACTCATTTTGTGCTTAATTAATAGAAACCTGCCTTGCCTGGCTCCAGGCTTCCGAGGGCTGCGTGTTGCTGACAGGATCCTGGCGGAGGGCAGGAGCTTTGAATGCAAGGCTCGTTCCTTCTGGCTGCAGGTTAGGGGTCTCTTTCCTTTTGTTGCTTGCGGTTGTGGGCGGTTGGCCCGCTGCCTGCTCCGGTTTGGCAACTGCCAGGGATGGAGAGGCGGCTGTGGTGGTGTACAGAAAAGCTTTGGAGCAGGTGTGTCCCTGCCAGGCAGCTGCCTTACCAAATGAAAAGCGTTTTCTCTTGCTGCCCTTGCTCACCTCCGTGCTGAACGGTGCTGCCGAGATGCTTACCAGAAATAGTGGGGAATTTGATGTCTTTAGCGCATCAGCCCATCACACTGGGTTGGTTACACTGTGCTCGAGCCTTTCCCCTGGTTAGCACAGCCCTTGGGGCAGTTACATGGGCTGAGAGCTTCTACAGGAACAAAGCACTTTGTTTCCTGTGTGTTCTCTCTCCTCGGAGCCATGCATTTCACTCTTGATGGCATCAGTACCTCGAGGGCAGGCACCCGAGCATCCCATGATTGCAGGGTCCTTGGGGAGCAGCAGGGTGTGGTGGCAGCTGGAAATACTCATAGAATCGTGTTGTCACACAATAGCTTAGGTTGGATGGCACCTCCAAGACCATTTGGTTCCAGCTCCCCTCCCACAGGCTGGCCGTCCCCCAGCTCAGGCTGCCCAGAGCCCATCCGTGGCCTCGGGCACCTCCAGGAATGGGGCACCCACAGCTCTGGGCAGCATTGCCAGCACCTCACTGCTTTCTGAAGAAAGAATTTCTTCTTCACATCTGCCCTCTTTCAGTTTAGAGCTGTTCCCCCTTGTTCTGCTGCCGTCTGCTCCTGTAACAAGACGGTTTCCTCCTGCAGAGGAGAGGGAGGTGTTAAGGTACAAGAATGGGGCTTGCTGCTGCTTGGGGGCTGTCGGAAGTGGTTGGGGAAGGCTGTTAGCAGAGCTGAGTGCTGCTCATTTCCAAACTGCCTGGGGGGAGAGGCAGGATGAGAAATAGCAAAGATATGAAATCCACCACTAACTCACACCTAAAATAAGAAAGAGGAGTGAAACGCACCACGGGTAGATTTGAGTAACTGTGGGCTTCCCAGCTGCACATCTTCCCTCCACGCTTTCGCACCTCTCTTGTGGGTGCAGCAGCTTCCTGCAATCACACCCAGACCCCTTTGCACGTCCCCTTGTTACTTTCCAACACGTTGCATGGTGCCCCTGCTGCTGGGCTCAGGGCTTTGCTTTGCAAAGTGTGATGGCCACAGATGGAACACCAAGAAGCAGAGCAGCACGGTGTGAGCCCTTGCTCTTCCTTGTGCTGCTTTCTGGAACCAAACCACAATGTTTCCTACGGGATGAAAGGCATGGAAAGATGCTGTCAAGGCTTTTACACCTTCAGGGTGATGAGAAAGTACTTTGCCTCCACTGAGAAACCATTTTTATTATGCTCTCCTTTCCAGGCAGTCCAAGCACATGCCTGTTTTTGAGCTGGCTACAGCAGTGTGTTGTGGATGTAGCCCTTTGGCCCATACCTGGCAGTGCCTTTCTCCATTCCAGGTATGTGTCAGGTATGCAGGAGATGACCAGTGCCCTCAATGGAATTGGTCTGACCTGTTTTTCTGGCCCCTGCCCTTTGCGCACTACTCTTAGGCTCCAGCTGTGAATACTATAAATGGTTTTGTCGTTGTGCTGGGAGGAGGAGGGGCTGGAGGAGGAATGGGAGCGGGGCTGCAACTGCACTGCATGGTCCTGAGAGAGCATGGAGGGATTTAAAGAGCAGGAAACACATGTGGCAGTGTCTGGTCCTGCTTCAGCAGAACGCATTTTTAGCCCATCAGCTGCCTGGTTTCTGCTGCTGCTTCCCTGTAGCTGTGGAGTATTTTGGGGGACGTGACAGGGAGTGCAGGCATCCTGAAAATGTATCTGGGCAGGGGAAGGCAGCAGCACAAACCCCTTTGCTATGCCTGGGAGGGAGGTGAGCTCTGAGGGTCTTCATCTTTCTGTTTTGCTTTCTTTGGGAGGTGACTGATGTTGGAGCACGGGTTAAGCTGAAGTGCTGCAGGGTTGAGCAACAGAGCAACATTCCTAAGGACCCTTCAGCCTTGCCCAGAGCTGAGAAGTAGCTGCACGTAGCTCAGCAGGCTCAAGGAGTGCAGCTGCACCCCTTGGCAGCACCAGCTTTTGGGGAGCAGGAGAAGGCAGGTGTGAAGGAGGTGCTTCCCCACGTTATGTTGCCTTTTGGCCTCTCTCAGAACCCCCCCAGATGGAATCATATCATTTTCTGCAAAACTGGAAACCTCGAGCCTCGTGGTTCTCTAATCACACCATGGCAGGTCAGAACAAAACCTCATGTGTGGATCCTGGGTCATTTTGAGAAAAGTCAGTTCTATAAACTGGTTTATAGGGTTTTTGGTAGAAAAGTCCCAGAAAGCTGTCAGGCTGATCCTAAAGGGAGGGCTGCCTATCCAGCTCCTCTGTGATGACAGAAGCTGGTGTCCTTGTGTCATATCATGTGCAAAATCACAGGAGAAGGAAAACCTTATCGCTTAGTGGCTACCACTGCTGTCCATAGGCGTGCTGACTCCTTCCAGGCATCTCAACTTAGGAATTTATAGAGCCTTGCAAAATACAGCTTGGCTTCTTACAGCAGCACTGGAGAGGCAGGGTGGGGATCCAGGCTGGGGTTGGTCAGTTCCTTCTCCCTGGAACAGAGGAGATACGGAGTTTGGATGGAATCACATTCCATTCCTTTAAAGGAAAGCCATCGGTGCACCTGTGCTGCTTGTCATGCATCCTGTGTGCAGCATTGGGACCGATGTCAGTGAGTGGAGCTGGCTGCAATACTTCCCAAAGCAAGGTGTGAGCAGTGCCTGAGCTGCGCCTGGAGTTGCTCAGCACTGACTCACCATCATGCTGTGAAACAGGTAGAGGAGCTGGGGCTCCCCGTGCTGCCAGCTGTGAGTCATGCCTGGCTTTTTCTTCTGTGTCAGAACTGAACCCGGTCTGTCTGATAGAGACGGTGACGTGCCGTGAGGTCACAGCGGGTTCAGTCTGCTCCAGAAGGAGCAGCTAACACCTGACAGGCAGGGGAAGTGAGGTGTGCCTGGAAAAGGAAGGAACTGGAGTAGGATCCGTTAAGCGTGTGTGATTCCGGCTGCAGTGAGCGTTGTCACACCTACAGTCATGGTGCTTTCCCACCTCGCTGCGTCAGTGCTGTTCCCAAAGGGCAGAAGATCCCTATTGCTTTCTCTTTCCGTTTTGTTCAAGCTTTGTTTCGGTTCTTTATTTGAAAATGCCATCATCAGAGCAGGTTTGAACAATCCCTTCCATTTAAGGACAACTCCAGAGCTCAAGGAGTCAATGCTCTCAGATGTGGTCTGATATTTGTAGGTGGTCCTGTGTGGAGCCAGGGGTTGGTCTGCATGATCCTTATGGGTCCCTTCCAACTCAGGATGTCCTGTGATTCTACTAACACAGTCCTCTGAGCACCAATGAGTCCTAGACCCATAAAGCCTTTCATGCTACCCATGCTCAGAGCTGTGCAAGCCAGCATCCCAGGATTTGTGCTGTGGGTACTGGTGAGTCTGATGGCCTTTCTTCATCGCACAGCGGTGTGGTGGGGTGCAGCATAGCTGAGTCAGCCCCTGAGCTGGGAATAAAGCAGCCATGATGCAATTGCTTATAATGAGCCCACGCACCCACACTGCTTTCCTAGCTGGAGTGCTGCAAGCATCTGCTTGGAGATGAGGGCTGCAGGCTTGCTTCTTCCCATGCCCGCAACCCCAGCTTGAGCTCTTGGCTCCTGCATCCATAGGTCCTTTGGTTCTTCCTCAAAGCACAGCATGCCCACACTGTGCAGAGGGAGCTCAGCCTGCTTCACCCTGGTCAGCTTGAAGCAGAATTTGTTTAGGATGGGTTTCGTCTGGAGCATCTCCCTGGTCCTTTCCCTCCTCCTCCTCCATTACCTCACCCTTCATGCATCCCTATGAGATGCACTGGGCTCGCTCCTGCTCCCTCATTTTTTATTACTATTATTCTTCAATCTGCCTTGGCTTTCCTCCTCTTGCCGGCGAAGCACAAAGCTGCTCTTTCTCCTATTCATTCCTCCGGCCTCGGGTTAGCATTTCAATTGACAATCCTGCCATTGATTTGTGTGCTGATGGTTGGCTTTACATTAAATGCCAGCCGGAGAGATTTAACAGATTTAGCAGAGCTCTGGAAACTTGCCGGGTGGTTTTTCAAGCTCTAGGCTCACTTTGCATCATCCCCTTCTTTGGGGATGTGCTGTGGGCACCACACTTTGCCCTTACCCTTTGGATGCCCTCAGTCTCATCATCCTCACTCTCAGAGCAAACCCCAAACCACGCATGGGACAGCAGGGCTGCTCCCTCTCCCCCCCTCCATCCCTCTCCATGAACCTGCTGGTTGCAAAGGAGATCAAACCCCAACAGTCTGAGGCAGAGCATGGGCTGAATGCACCCAGCACCTGCTCATGGAAACTCCTTTCCAAAGCTCCCTTTTCCAGCCCAAATCAGTGCTCAAGTGTCTGGGCCGTGGCTCAGAGAGCTGTTTATTCCCAACTCGGTGATTCAGTGCAGCCCCTGGGGAGCAGTAGGATAAATAATGTGTTGGCGCCGACCAAATTATTGTTTTGGGCTCTTTTGTTTCCAGCTGGTTGAGGAGAAGCAAGTCCTTGCTAGGAAGTAGGTTGGCACAGTGCTCGGGGCTGACCAGAGAGAAACTGTTGTGGGGAAAAAAGAAAAAAAAAAAAAGCCCTGAAAGCAAAACCAAAGGTATCGTGATTGTGGAGGCATGTGTGTGCAGAGGGCAAAGCGGGGGAGAAGACTGGGGAACAGCAAGTGTTCTCGTGGCTTAGCAGCAGTAGAAAAGTGCAAAGTATGCTGAAGTACAGCCAGAGCAGCCTGCAGCCTGCTGGATGTGGATGTAGCTGGATGTGGAAGCCTTCCTGCTTGTGGAGTCCCGAGTGCTGGAGCCCCTCTGCCACCACCCCAGGTGTCAAAGAGGTGGGCTGGAGGGCAGTGTGCCTCCTGCTGGTCTCTGTGTCCCAGCCTACCCTACAGCTGGGAGCTGACCCCATTCCTCACCCCATGGAGGTGCGTGAGCAGCGTATGGCATCAGAGTGAAAAGCCTCGAATATTTGCCTCTGCAGAATCTTGGCAGGAGCCCCTGCGCCGTGTTCTCCAGGCAGGGAAAGCACTGCCTGAAGATTGTCCTCTGCCTGTCCTGCCAAGTGGCCTTATAAATAGAGAGGGACACGTGCCTCTGATTTATTGCCTGTCTGTGCAGGCTGCCAGCTCCTAAGGCAGACACAGTCTTTGTCTGCATGCCTGGAGCAGCAGCTCTTGGTAGGAGAGGCCCTCCTCTTTGGAAAAGAGGAAAGAGAGCTGGAAAGGGAGCATCCCATCACACTGTGCAGAGGTCAGTCCTCATCTGCTGTTCCTCCCCGAGTTCACCTTCCTTTTGCATGACTGCTGCAGAGCACAGTGTGGGATAAGGGATGGATTCCAGCAGCGTGGGCTCTGGCACAGCTGCTCCGAGCTGCCAGGTGTGGCTGCAGCATCCTGGGGTGGTGCAGGGCTGCTGAGAAGGAGCAGAGAGCACTGGGGAGGCTGTGCACACAGCTCTGCTCGCTGCCCTGCGCCGCTGCAGCCTCCCACACCTGAGCTGGCAGCGCAGAGGGAAGAAGGGGGTGAATTGGAAAGGCATGAAGGTGAAAGAGGAAGGAAAGAAAGGAAGGACAAGCAGTCCTTCCTCTCAGCTGGGCCCAGGAAGCTTCCCATTTGCTGTATGTGGTTGTGACACCACGGCCCCACGTCTTGCAGCTCACTTTCTGGTTGCCCTGGGGACGTGCAGCCCTGAGCATTGCAGCTTTACATGCTTCCCCTTCTGACATCTAGGCTTTGGCCTGTGGGCTGCCTTTGGCTTCTGATGGTGGCTCTGAACCCCATCCGTCCCACCTCCTGTCCTTGGGGCCAGGACAAGAGCACAGCTATGAGCCTGGGAGCTGCCTTCCCTCGCTGCCTGGCACCATCCCATACAACCCTGTGTCCTTGCTTTTCTCATTGCTCATGCCAAGGATGCAGAAGGGAGTCAATCAGCCTGAACTGGCTGCAGCTGCTCTGCAGTGGGCTGTGCTTTCCCTAATGAATGTCTTTGCTGTTCCTAGGTGAGAGGGAGTATACATTTCCCAGGAATGAGAAGTACCCGGTGTTCTATCATGAAACAAACAGCTCAAGCATCTACGTCGGGGGAGAGGGAATACTTTACTACTATAACTTTGCAACCTCTGAGACCTACCCGGTAAGGATGCTCTGCTCACCACTTTGAGCCCACGGCCACGGCCACATTCGGTGTCTGTCTCGCAGCCCAGGTGTTAGATAGCTGACTCAGTACCTTTGCCACCAACAAAATCAGGACTGAGAATGTCCATTCTATGCCCACAGCTTCTGAATGGTTGGCACCTGCAGCAAAGGGGAGAGTTTTGCACTAACTGCAGGTGGGTTCTTCCCAAGCCGTGATCTTGTTGACGTCTCTATTGCGCCAGGGCTAGGATTGCTCAGGTGGGGGACGTGTTCTGTAGCATGGAAAGGGCAGCTTAGAGTCAGGTTACTGCAGAGGAGCTGTGTTCCCACCCCCTTCCATCATCACTGACTTGTTTCAAGAACAGCAAGCTCTGAATCAGCTGGGCACCAAGTTAGAACAACAGGAAAACCCTGGGGTGGTTAGCTTCCACATGACCCACGCTTGTCCTTCTCAAACAAGCCAGTCCCTATGTTTATTCCCAGAAACAGCCCTTGTTCTCAAGGAGCAGCAGGGTTCGTGTGTCCCAGTCCTTGGACGTCCACTGCTGAACACTCACTCCTTGCAACAACAGACCTTCTCTCAAAATCCTTCAGGGAACAACCCAGGCTGTGCTCGTTGCTTCGGCCCTGCATCCCCACTTCTGCACATCACCCCCAAGGGCTGAGAGACCCAGTCCTGCTACCTCAGTGTCTCCCAAGGGCTTTCAGATGGGGAAGAGGGCTGAGCTGCTGTGTTTATGACCTTCCAACTGATGTGCTCTTTTGCTAAGAGAGCAACTGAGTACGTGGTACACGAAACTGGGTCCTTGTTAGCTGTCTTTGAGAGGGCAGTGATTAAAGCCTCTCTCTTTCTCTTTTACACCAGGTAGAGTTCCCTGTGGAAAATGGAGCACAGTGTTTGAAGCCTGGGAGCCCGGTAGGTCCTATTTCTGGAGGAACAGAATATGTGGGTTGGAGGACTCGGGCTGGAGGACTGCTCCTCTGGTTTTAACACCTATGGGAAAGCTGGGGAGCTGTATAGCAGAGTGCTGGTAGTGCTGTAGACGTGGAGCTACAGGGCTGTGGTCTGCCAATTGCAGCTGCTCACGATCCTCTCCTTTCTCTTGCAGGAGGACAATAAAAACTTCATCACCTTAATAGCAAAGCATGGAAGTGAGATGTTAGTGTGTGGGACTGGCGCTTGCAATCCCACCTGCTGGCACTTGGTAAGCTGGAGTTCCTCTGTTCTGCTTTGCCTGGTGTCTTTTCCAGTGGACAGCCAGGCACTGTGGGGGATGCTGCACAGATTGGGAGTGGGCCTAAAGCCAAAACAGAGCTCAGGGGTCCTTGATGCCCACGTAACAGCTTGAATCACAGACTGAGGGGTGTGAAGGGAGCCTCTGTGCTTACCTGCTCAGGGGGGACGTGGGCACCTACATCCCCTGCCCTGAACTGATTGCATTTCTCAGGGGCCATTTCTCTCCTTCCCCAGACAGAAAAGGAGAAGGACTCTCCTCAGGATGGCAGAGGTCTTGCTCCTTTCACTCCTGATACAAATTCCCTCGTCATCGTTGACTGTAAGTCTGGCTGCTCACATGTTTTGGGTTGCAGTGCCGTGCAGGAAGCCTAGGTTCTCCAAGGGCTGTACTTTTCTGCTCTGGCTGGTGATCTTGGTTTTGCCTCATGTTGATGCTTGTCCTTCTAAGACAGAGTATGGCGAGAGGTTGTTTGTTCTTGTCCTAGGGAGAGGGTTGAATCTCTGTGCAGGGCAAGGTAGGGTGCATGAGAATGGTGTCATTCTGCAGCATCTGCACTGCTGTGGACCTGGTAGAGGGGGAGATGAGGTTCCCTTCCAGAGTCAGAACAGAAATTATCCCTGCTGCTCTGTAGGAAAAAGGCTTGAGAGTGTTCCCTGGGAGTCCTGCCATGCCCATGCAATCCTAGTCAGGCAGGTCTGGGTTTTTTGACCTGTATCCACCATTTGTGAGTCCCCTTCACCTGACCATGTGTCCAGATACTTCTTGGTTCTTGCTTTTGTGCTCACAAATCCTTTTGCCCCCCTCTTGAAACACCTCATTGCAAAAGAGCCTTCCTCTCCCACAGATCCTAACATCTACTCTACCATCAAGAAAAGCCAGCAGAATGGCAAGATCCCCCGCTTCCGACGAGTGAAAGGGGATGGAGAACTCTACACAAGTGACACAGTGATGCAAAGTGAGTACAGGAGCATGGGACCAGTTGCTTTGCCCCAGCAAGCAGCTTCATCTGGATCTGTCCCCCATGGTGTGGCAGGGAGGGACCCAGCAGCTCTCTGCAGCTCTCTTGCTGCCAGCTGGGGGGAATTTCACCTCCTCGCTTCTGCACCAAGACAACTGGCATGAGTTCCTCTTGCTCAGGGTGAGGAAGGAGAGGATGGGGAAATGGAGAGAAGTGGACAGCAAGTCCCATGTCAGATGCTTGTTGTGTAAAGGTGCCCATCAGCTGCCGAGTGGTGGTGGAAACAGGAAGAACAGCTTCCATTCTGGGCAGTGACTCTTTCCAAATCCCCAGCCTGGGTCATGACCCAGCAGCAAGAAGCTGTTGGGCTGCTAATGGGCTTCTCAATTTCTGCAACCTTACTGCACTGTCTTCTCCTAAGCCTTTTTTTATCAAAGACAAAAATCCAAATGACACCAAGGCCAAGCAGGACAGTGGGAAAAAGCCTTGCAGACCCAGAGCAGTGGGGTTGATCCCATGATGACACAGAATTCCCTGCCACAGGGCCACCATCTAACGATGCCCAGAGGGACCATAGTGCTGCTGGGGATGCCCTTTGTGGCAGCAGTGTATTAATAGGAACAACATTACTGGGTTTTCCACACTGAGCAAAACAGTGAGGCAGCTTGCTGCACTGAGGGAGCCTTTCTGTACAAAGCCAAGGCTTCACTGGGCTCTGGGGATTTGCCCCGAAGGTAACAAGTGCATGGAGGAGAGAGAGGAAAGGGAACACATGGGAACATGGTGCATGAAAAATAGTCTTTAGTGTGCTGTGACTGATCAGGTACAGAGAAAAGGCTTGGACCTGTCGTTTGCCCAGACCCACCAATGGGCTTGTGTTTCTGAAGGGTGCTTGTTCAGGCCAAAGTTTTCTGACTGCTTGCTTCCCCTTCCAGACCCTCAGTTTGTCAAAGCCACCACGTTAAGGCATGAAGATCCTTACCAGGACAAGATTTACTACTTCTTCCGTGAAGACAATCCAGATAAGAGTCCTGAGGCACCCAGAAACATCTCCCGAGTGGCCCAGCTGTGTAAGGTACCATGGGAACAGGGTATGGTGGGGAGGCAGCAGTGTCACAGAGGTGACAAATGGCCATACCGGCTCGTCTGGTATTGTCAGCACACAAGTTGGCTCCTCTGGCTCCCTCTAGCCATGTCTTTTGACCTTCCTGTCCTTGGGCTCCCATCTTGCTTTTAGGGACAAGCAACACTGCCCTGCCTTGCTGGGATGTTAGAGATCAACAAGCATTGCAGTGACTAGCAGCAAATATCTCTCCGGAGCATCCCCCAGTTATCCTCCTAAGATGCCGTACAGAGGGGACTTTGTGTTGTTCTCTACCAAGCCCTGACTCCCTGCTTTCTTTCCCCTCCAGGAAGACAAAGGTGGAACCAGTTCCCTCTCTGCTTCCAAGTGGACCACCTTCCTGAAGGCCAGCTTGATTTGTGTCGACCCGGCCACCAAGGGCAATTTCAACTGGCTGCAGGATGTCTTCTTTGTCCCTGCAAGTGACTGGAGGGACTCCAAAGTCTATGGGCTCTTCACAAACACCTGGTAAGGGTCTTTGCAAAATGGGGGATGCCTGTCCCATGGGCCCTTGTCCTTTCCTTCAGCCCTTTGTTCTCTCTGGCAGGAACATGGGTGGAAAACAGCCAGAATGGACATGGGCAGCAAAGGTGCGACACGCAGCTGTGCCCCAGCCGTGCCCCAGGCAAAGGCCACTGTATCCCTGACCCTCTCTTTGTCTTGTTTCCCACAGGGGAAGCTCTGCTGTTTGTGTCTATTCTTTTGGGGACATTGACAACGTGTTTCGGACGTCCAAACTCAAAGGCTATAATGGTCCCAACCCAGAAATCAAGCCTGGGCAGGTGAGTAAGCGATGAAAGACACCCACGTTAACCAGAGAGGCCTCCTAAGCTCCCTGCTCTGCTGCTGTTAGAGGAGCTGGGGCAGGTGAGGGTCTCAACCAGCCAGCTGAGAGCTGGGTGCTGTTCTCAGACTGGCTGTGGCCACCGTGGGAAGGATCTGAGCTTTGTTACTGGAAACATGAGGAGGCTGGTCAAGGTCCAACACTTTCATGAAAATTAAAGGGGAGTGAGGCTCTTATGTACTTGGCAAACAGGTCTGAGCCCTTATTTGAAGTTGGAGGACAAAGCCTCGCATTGTGTTTGCTAACACAGAATTTTTGTCAGCAGAAATCTCTAGCCTAACCCTACAGTTCATGTTGCTCAACTGACCTGGCAGCAAACAACTGCACAGGGAGAGGCTGTTCTAGGCCGGTGGGGGATGGCAGGGTCTGAATTTGCTAAACTGAAACTTATGCAGTAGGAGAAAGGCTGTTGGGTTGCCAGGTGTGCAGATAAGGTGTTTGCTGCGTGTTTTCCAACCTGCTCTCTGATCCTGTGTAGCTGCAGAGCAGCCTGCAGGCTCTTTGCCATGGCAGGAGGCCCTGGGCATTCTCCTCTAGGCTCAGCTGTGCCATGTCATTGATTTCCTGCCCTCAAGTGTCACCCCCATGTATCTGCCTTCCTCTGACACAGTGCCTTTTGTTCCCTCCTGCTGCAGTGTGTTCCCTTTGGACAGCACACCCCAAGTGAGACCTTCAAGATAGCTGACAGCCACCCAGAGGTAGAGAACCGAGTGGAGCCCCTCGCACCCACCAGGAGCCCCTTATTTCACAACAAGCACCGCTACCAGAAGATTGGGGTGCATGAGGTCTCTGCAAGTGATGGACATCAATACACCGTGCTTTATCTGGCAACAGGTACCAGGAACCCTGGCACAGTGCTCTCTTTCCTGCCTTGCTGCCCAGGCTCACACCCTACAGCTGTGCTCATCCTTTTTGTTTTTGCATTTGCGTTGTATTGGAGCTTGTTTATTGACATGAAAAAATACAGACAAGTCTTGGTGGCCTGGGTTGGAGGCAGTGGATGCTCTTATTGTTCTTATCTTGCTAAAAGCTTTTGCTAAATGCAGCTAATGCCTTCCAAATTCTGCAAGGCAGCTTGCTTCGTGCTGCAGGGCTTGGCAAGGCTTCCCACCTGTGCTGTGGTGGGCATGGAGACACCTGGAGTGAGATGAGGGGTGATCCTGTTCCCTGCCTGATGCCTATGGGAGGTCCTGCCTCACCTCCCCTGGCTGCACTGAGTAAGGGAGCAGCTACTTGGGATAGGGAAACGAGACAATTACATGAGAGTAACTGGTGAGACTGCTGATGCACATTCAATCAGGAGGAGAATTGCCACATCTCTGCCAAATTGCTCGTTCTCTTGTGTTACCAATTTCTGAAGTCATTTAATGGAGGAGGGAGTTTGCTTAAAAAGCCAGAAAGGTGAAAGTCCACGTTCCAGCCCCAGGCACTGGGGAAAAGGCACTACAGAACAATGGCGAGTTGGAGAGCTGTTGGTTTTTATTGCAGCTGAACAAAGGGGGCTTGGCCAGGCCTCCAGGGGAAACCAGTTCCTCATAGCTCTTGGCTGGGAGGGTGACAAAGCTCTGCTCTGGGTAGCACTATTGTTTAGAGGGTGATTTCCTAAGAAAATAATTCTGAGAAAGGTTCCAGGCTCCCCCTGGGTGGCTGGTTTCAGGGACACAGTCATATCTGGCTCTGCAGAGTGGGTATTGTGTGCTGCAACAAGGGCTGAGCTCCCAGACCTGCTTCTCTGTCCGGTTTCCCAACTCCTGGCTTTAGTCCCTTTGCTTTGCCTTCATCAGGGCTCTCCTGTCTTGTTTTCCAGACAGGGGATCCATCCACAAGGTAGTAGAGCTGCCAGGGGGAGTGCATAACATCATGGAGCTCCAGGTCTTCTCAAAGAAGGACCCGATCCAGTCCATGATCCTGGACCACGAGAGGGTAGGTCCATAGAAAAGAAACCAGTGGCTGGGGCTGTGGTTATAAAAGCAAGCAGGAGGCAGGGATAGGCAATTTCATACCAGCTCCTAGATATGGAAACAGCCTCTGGATGGGTTTGAGGGGAGGGTCCTCGCAGCTGGGCTGATGCCCCCAGTGCCGGATCACTGTGCAGAGCAGCGGGCAAAGAGATCTCTCCTGGAGGAGAGGAAGGGAAGAGCGAGGCTGTTTGCTGCCTGGGTCAAATCCCAGCACAGAGTTCTGCTTCCCCTGCAGATTCCCTCTCCTTTTCTGGCCTTGCTGGCAGATGAGCTGTCAGACAATGCTGGTGCTCCATCCCGGAGGTGAAAACATTGCTGGCACCGATGGAGCAAATTTATTTATACCTAAGGTGGGGGAAAATAAGAGAGCAAGCGACGTATGACTGCATTGCCTGGAGAGCTACCAGCCCTGCTGGTGGGATCCAACCCGGCACCACAGTGACTAAAGCTGTGGGAACATTCGCAGAAGCGCGAGACGTTCGCGGGGCGGCACTGGGACGGGTGCTGGGAGGATCAGCCCCTCTGCTTCCCTCCCGCAGGCGATGCTGTACGTGGGCTCGAGCAGGAGAGTGGTGGAGGTGCCCATGGACATGTGTGGGGTGTACCGCAACAACTGCGAGAGCTGCCTGCTGGCCAGGGACCCCTACTGTGGGTGGGCCGACGGGCGCTGCCAGTCCATCTATCACAACCGGTACGTGGCACGGGCAGCTCGCTGCTATCCCCATCAAATTTGGCTGGATGTGTTAGCTTGGGAAATGCCCACATTTTCAGTGTACCCTTTCCTGGCCGCTTGGTTTTGTGACCATCTTCCCATCAGAGGCAGATCTCACTGTGGCCAGGCAGTGCTCGATGCTGTTCTGCTGCCCTGCGCCTCTGCAGGGCTCTCCTGCAGCACCTCTGCTGTGGTAGAGGGAGAGATCAATGGGTTTCATACATCCTGAGCACCCAGATCCCCTTTTCCCCTTAGAAGCGTGCGTAGCTTCATCACAAATATGGTCCATTATGCTTGCCCTCAGTGAAAATCAAGGTCTACCAATCATGGTGCTGTTTAAAGTGGTTGATTATGGTGAGCTGCTGTGTCTTACATTTGTCACCCACCAACCCCTTAAGAGTCTGGGGGGCGTTTTTCCCCACCCTGCTGGTAGTGGGTGTTTAAACGTTCTGATCCAGCACAATCTCTGTGGGAATAAACTCCTTTCTTAGCTCCAGAGTGCTGCTGCTGTGTTGGTAGTGCCTTGATAATGCTTGTTTCCACCTGGCAGGGAGGTGCGTCAGAACCTGAACCTGGAGCCGTGGCAAGGAAAGTGCCAGAAGGGTGAAGTTAAGGAAGGTATGTGAAGGGTTTGAAGCAGGGGGACTGATTCTCAAGTGTTAGCACAGGCTGGGAGAGCTGTTGCTACTCAGTTCTGGGGAACTCATTATGACTGTGCTGTGGCCGAGACACCACACGTATCGGCTCGGAGTCAACGGCTACGCAGTGTGTTTGCTGAGTAAATAAAGGCATGAGCTGAATGTTTGTCAGGCCTTTTGGTATGCAGTACCACGATCGATTCTCATGGCACGCTGCTGCTTCTATAGCCACAGATGTCCCTTAGGTAGGGATGATCTGAGTGACCCAGCCCAGCCTGCGCTGCGCAAAGCCAACAGCCATTAGGAAATATCTTGCCTCCTACCCCCAGACACGCAGTCTGGCTGGCTGCTGTGCAAACATAACTCAACTCACCGATAGGCCTTCGTGCCAAGGAGCTGTCAGCACATCTGGAAACCTCTCCAGTGCTGTAAACAGTCTTCCTTGGCCTCATTTCCCCTCTGTGCTAAACCTGGCGCTGTGGTAGGATGAGGTCTTCTGAGCTGGCTGAGGGGGGTACAAACTGTTTTGCTGGCCATCCAGGTAGGAGAAGTCCTATGGACATCACCAGGTGTGGTTCGTGCCCTGCCGTTGTCATTAAGTGCAATGTGTCCCCCTGCAATGTGTCCCCATCAACCCACCCGTTCTTCCCTGTGGGTCTGCAGGGCAGTGTGTGCCTCCTGGGGATTCCTGTCTCATGCCACCCTTCCCAACCTCTTGCAGCAGACAGCTACCAGAATGTCACCGTTGTCCCCGTCGTCCCTTTCTCTCGCTACTACCTCAACTGTCCCGTCGAGTCCCACTATGCCACCTACAACTGGTACCACAACGACACCCTCATCAAGACCTGCAACAACACCCACCCGCAGCCGGACTGCTTCTACTTCATCCAGAACGTGAGCCACACTCACTACGGCCACTACATCTGCGTCTCGGAGGAGGACGGCTTCAGGCAGGCTCTGGTGAAGGAGCACCTGGTGAACCAGCTCAGGTTCATGTCGCAGAAGGGTCAGGCCACCGTGACTTTGGCATCCTGGCTGCAGCTGCTGCTCATGGTGCTGTTGGTGGAGCTCTTCCACTGAGCACGACACGGCCGCCTTCCCAACTGCTGCCACTCTTCCTGCACTTAACGTGAGGCCAGACCCTTGCTCTCAATCACTCCTTGGGCACTAACCTTTGACTGTCCCCAGTGGTGTCCCGGCTCTGTGGGCAGCAACTCTTCCATCTTCGGAGTTGGTGTGAGGAAGAGGCAGCTACAGGGCCGGATGGAGCAGGGTTTGGGGCCAGGAGCGTCCTGTCTCAAGGGGGACGTTCACTGTACCCACAGGACTGCAGCCTGCCCCCAGGCACGTGCTGGTAGCTCCATACTGGTGGTCCTGAGCACGCACCAGGTGCAGACTTTGTTCAGGGGACTATGCAGATGTGCATGCACTGATCCTCAGGGCGCGACGGCTCCTCTCTTTGGGAACGTGCATGTGATGAAGAGGAGGAGCCAGCCCTTGGCCTTTCGAACTGGTTGGCCTGTGCTTCTCTCCAGGGTGTTAGTGGCTAACAACAAGCCCAAGCGGCGAGCAGCTGGGATCTTCCCAGTGTCACTCGTGGGTCCCGTTCTGCTCTGGAAGGGTTTTGTTGGTTGTTCAGAGGGCTGTGATGTGGGAGAGCGAGTGGGAGCTGGCACTGACAAACTGCAGGGAAGGGCAGGCTCAAAGTTAGCGTTTTGCATGGATAAGACTTGGAGGATGACTTAGCTATAGATTCGGGGTGTGGGGGAGGACAGACCAAAGGGCCCTAAGATTTCCTAAAGACTGGAAGGAGAGGTGGAAGCCCCCAGGAGGCCCTGGGGAGACGTTAAACGCACAAATCCGTGCAGGCAGCTAGGGGCATCGCTCTGCGGACAGCCCTGCTCCCAGTGCCCCTTTCCCCTTGGGGAGGGACTGGGCTTCCTCAGGGAAAGAGGAGCCAGGCTGTGGGGCTCAGGGCTTCGCAGCCACTTCCACCCCTGGGTGCTGCATGATGAGACAGGGGAGGGCCAGCACCCCCCGCCCTGGGCTCTGAGGCCTCCAAGCAAGATTAAACTGTGAAATATGGGATATTGTCCCTGTGCCTGTGCACAGAGGGTGATCCCACACCTTGTCCAAGCCTTCCCCTGCCCTATGGACTGCTGGAACTCCCCCAGCCTGGTGGGCAGAGTGCTGGGCAGGCTGTGCCGCCAGCTGAGCCTTGTGGTCTTTGGGCAAAGCAGGGGGGGGGTGTAGGCAGAGCAGAGCTTCCTACAGCACTACGTTCCCACACAACCCCCAGAGCCTAGCATAGAGCTTCTTACATCTCTTCTCAAAGCACTTTAACTTTGTCAACTAACAAATGACCTATTTATTATCAACGAGCAATTGCTGTACTTGTCTAATTTTCTAGCGTGATAGAAAGGCGGGCTCAGAGTAGAGAAAGGAGGGAAAGAAAACAGCTACCAAAAAACAAAACCCCTTTCCAAGCTGTGACCAAAGTGAGAAGGTGATCATTGAAATAAAGAGTGGACGAGAGCACGTGGGCACCATGCTTCTTACTGGGCACCAGAGCTGCTGGGCTCCCCGTCAAGGCTGCATGCCGTCCCCATCCCCAGCTCCTCATTTCCCATTGATCCTTTGTGCTCTGTTCCGGCCTTTCCCCCATCCCCATCACTCAAAACGTCGCCGTCTCAGACCCTTCGTGTCCCATCTTTAACAGCTTCGTGTGTCTTGAGCAGTCATGCTTGTATGGGGAAACCAGAGCAGGATGTGGGCTGTGGGTTCTGGGCTCCCCACGTGGGCTGTGCTGGTAAAAATAAAGCTGCCAGGTGCCCGTGGGTGCTGCTGTGGCTGGAATCTGCCTGCCTTGACGTCAGGAGTGGCTTTTCCCAATGGAATGTCATCACAGGACGCTTTTGCTGGAGCTTCATAACATTTGGGATCATGGCTTCGTCGTAGAGCTTTGTTTTGAGGGCTTTTTCACCCCTGGGCTCCTTCCTGCAGGTAGGGCTGGGAAATATTTGGGAGTTATCACTGCTTGGGTGACAGCTCGCTATGGAAGCCCTATTTCTTCATTTTCTCTCACTCTGGGGCTTGGCAGCAGACGTCCCGGCAGCACCATATGTGACGGCAGCACCCTGATGCAGGGAAGGAGAAGCGAGCCTGAGCTAAAAGGAGAAGTGTGAAGGCAGAAAGGAGGAGGGGGACGGCCAAGAGAAAAGGGAATGCGGAGCTGCAGTGCTGCCCTTGAAGTTTCATGAGCCCTTCTGTGTGCTCACGGAGTAAAAGGGACAGAAGAGGGGGGAAAAAAAACCAACGCTAAATTTCCTAAAAATGGAAAAAAAAAAGCATTGGGTTTTTTCCTTCCTAGCTGCTCTTCCCCCCCCCCAATCACTTTGTGTTCTACGAGCAGAAAGCTTGCTGAGAAAGAGCTTGGGGAAAGCGGCCCTGGGGGCTGCGCAGGGAAAATGTGGTGATGGAAAGAGTGAAACCCAGCGCTCAGCACCTCACCCTGAGGGCAGCACATTGTTCCCCTTGGGTTATTTTCGGGGTGGTTTATTTGAACGGGGGCATGTTTGCAGGAAGGCTGGGGGCTGCGTGTCGCTGCTGGCTTCCTGCTGTGTTACCAAAGGGCAGACAGATGTAATGAGAAATGCTGCCGGTCCGGGACAAAAGCTTTGTGGGGTTTTGTTGCAGCTTTTTGTAGGGCTGCAGGATGGAGCTGGCGCCTGCTGCAGGCATCGTCTGTGCTGTGACCTTGGGTGCAGCCTTGTGGCTGCTCTGCACTCAGGGCTCGCTGCACACAATAGGCCCAGGAAATCCTGCAAAGGTGAGGTTCCGTGAGAAACCCTGCAACCCTGGGCTCTGACTGCACGCCCTGTGTGTGATATGCACAGAACCTGAGGGGTGGTCTGCATGCCTTTGGGTCTCTGGCATGCTACCTGCACCCACAGCATCCCTGTGGGTGCCCTCCTCACCAACAGCATTCCACTGGGTACCAGGGATACCACCTGTACCTAGAGCATCCCTTTGGGTTCAGGGTTGCCAACCTACACCCTAGCATCCCTTTGGGTACCAGCTGCAGCCACAGCATCCCTTTGGGCACCATTCTCACCAACAGCATCCCATTGGGTACCAGGGATACCACCTGCACCTACGTCATCCCCTTGTGTGCCAGGGATGCCACCTGCTCCCACAGCATCCCTTTGGGTACCGTCTTCACCAACAGCATCTGTTTGTGTACCACCTGTACCTACAACATCCTTTGGGGTACCAGGGATGCCACCCACACCCTTAGCATCCCCTTGGGTACCACCTGCACCCAGAGCATCCCTTTGGGCAACACCTGTACCTACAGCATCCCTTTGGTAACCAGATGCTCTCTGTATCCACAGCATCCCTTTGGGTACCACCTGCACCCATAGCATCCCACTGGGTACTAAGGATGCCACCTGCACCCACAGCATTTTTTTGGGTACCTGATGCTCCCTGCATCCTCAGCATCCTTTTGGGTACCGCCTGCACCCACAGCATCCTTTTGGGCAACACCTGTACCTACAGCAATCCTTTGGGTACCATCTGCACCCACAGCATCCCATTGGCTACTAGGGATGCCACCTGCACCCACAGCATCCCTTTGGGTACCAGTTGCTCTCTGTACTCACAACATCCCTTTGGATACCAGGGCTGCCACCTGCAGCCTCAGCATCCCTTTGGGATGTTGTACCCACAGCATCTCTTTGAGTACCATCTTCACCAACAGCATCCCTCTGGGTACCAGAGAAACCACTTGTGCCTACAAGAAGCAAAAAGTCCATCAGAAAATGCTGTTCCCCCTGACTTCAGGTCGGAGTATAAGTTGTAGTTTTGGTGTAGGGCAGCAGTTTGACCTCTCCTGTGATAAATCACTGCGCTCCCAGCACCGGATGCTCCAGATCCCTGGGAGACGATGGGGGTTTTCCACACATCTGGCTTCTGTGGGCTGTGTGGAAGCGAGGCTTTCACCCCCAGCTTGGGTATTTCCCAGCATCTCCCACTGTATACAGTGTGATTTTTTGGGGGGGGAAGTGCGATGGGGTGGTCCTTAGTCATGCTGCTCATAGGGGTGCAGAGTGAAGAAAGCCCCATGGGTGGAAAGTGTCAGTGAAATGCCCACGTAGGGATGGAAGCATCCTACATAAGTGTCATGGGGAAGAGCCCCTTTGGCATGGGGGGTCCCACTTGTCACCATCAATACCACGGAAAAACACAGTCACAGCCCTGCCCCCCCTTAGGGGAAGCCCCATTTCCAGCCCCCTCTTTTTTCACAAAGACCCCAAACCGCTGCGTTTCCCGCACCCAAGTGCCATACGCAATAGGAACCGATGGTCCAAACGTCCCCAGAGGGACATTTTTTGGAGGGTCCGCTTGGAGGACCTGACGACGCGTGTCGGGGAGGGGACAGGTGGCGCTGTTGGTGGCAGTGGATGGGCCAGGCGCGCCCCCCGGTGCCCAGCGCTGGGCTCAGCGGTTTTGCTCCTGAAGTGGAAGGAATAGGGGCTGAATAAAACTAAATACTAAAAAAAATCCGCCGAGTTCCCACTTCGGGAACTCAGCAAATCGCCGTTGGGTGGCTGCTCCCAGCCCTCCGTCAACCCAGGAGCCTCTCAGGGTCACCTCTGCAGGCTGTGCCCTCTGAAGCTGAGCTGGGGGGGGGGGGGGGGGGAACCAGCAGCGCTGCAAGCACTTTTATAATCTGTTTTGCAGGAAAAACAAAACATTTTGAAGGCAGGGCAACTTGTTTTTATGTTGGAATGGCTTTTATTGGGGTTGCACGGCCAAGCATCAGCATCAACGCGGGGCAGGAGCAAGCTCCCCCAAGCGCTGTCCCCCAAAGCAAGGCCACCCCCTGCCCCACATCCCAACCCTTTTTGGGGCATTTCGCCAGCACTCAGCCCTGTGACGTGCTGGAGGCGGGCAACAGCTCCTTGCCTTGAGCCCAGGATTCAGGGATAAGAGCGAGGTCACCCCGGCCGTGTGCTCGCCCCGCTCCCATGCTCTCCAGGGCTGCACCCATAGCGGGCAGCTTTCAGGCATGCCGCTGTGCTGGAGGGATCCCAGCCCTCGCGGGAGTCCACTGCCCATTGCCCGGCCCCTCAGGAGCTCGGCCCTTCGATCAGGTGCCGGGTGAATGGCGAACAGGTTGGCTTAACCTGTACCACTTCTGGAAGGAGGGTGGCTTCCACAACGTGCACAACATCATGGCCAGCAAGTTCCAGCGCTTCGGGCCCATCTACAGGTGAGGGTGCTGAGGGGGAAGGGAGCTAAGGGATGCTGAGCTGCCTTGGTGCCACAGGGATGGGCAGGACGTGGGTCCCCTCTGAGCTCACCGTGGGGTTGTGATGGGGAGCAAACTGGGGATTCGGGGAGGAGAAAGGTGGGATATGTGTATTTGCACTGCTTTAGGCTGAAATCCTATTATCTTTCAAACTCCTAATGGTGGTAGGGAGAAGCTGGGTGTCTACGAGAGCGTGAATATCATCAGCCCCCGCGACGCAGCCACGCTCTTCAAGTCAGAGGGGATGCTGCCCGAGCGCTTCAGCGTGCCCCCATGGGTGGCATACCGTGACTACCGCAACAAGCCCTACGGCGTGCTCCTCAAGTGAGTGGAACCCAAAAATCATCCCCCCAACAGCAACCCCGACAACAAGAACACTGCCCGCATCGCCCCTAGCGGGAAGCCCCAAAGCAAGACCCCAGTGCTCCACTAAGCCCAGTGTGAACCCCAAAAATGAGACCCTAGGGCTCCTTCTCCACCCACATCATCCCCAGTGGGAACCTCAAAGATGAGATCTCAGGATTCCAATGGGAACCCCCAAAAACAAGACCCCGTGGCCCAAAACCCCATGTGCTGGGGGTGGTGGGAAGCCGCAGGGTGGTGGGATGGGGATGGTGCCCTCGGGGACACTTCTGACCCTTGCCTGTGTTCCGCAGGACAGGGGAGGCCTGGCGCTCGGACCGCCTGACCCTGAACAAGGAGGTTCTGTCACCGCAGGTGGTGGACAGCTTCGTGCCCCTGCTGAACCAGGTGAGCGAGGACTTTGTGCAGCGGGCACGGGCGCAGGTGCAGAAGAGCGGCCGGGAGCGCTGGACGGCCGACTTCAGCCACGAGCTCTTCCGCTTCGCCTTGGAGTGTGAGTGTGCCCCCCAGAAACCCCCAAAGTGCACCTGGGATGGGTGGTGTGCTGCCATCCCTAGGGATGCTTCTCCCCCAAAGATTTGAGGTCTTCAGGGATGTACTGTCCGCAAACAAGTAGGGAACAACTCGACATCTAATGATAGCTCAGCGTTTTATGGCCAACCCTACTCAATCGCGATGCCAAAATCCTCCAGGAAGCCTGGAGTTGGCCGTAGTGGAGGGTCTGCAGTCGGGATCCCATAGTCTGGGTCCCCTGATGGGTGCCATGTTGCAGCTGTGTGCCACGTGCTGTACGGGGAGCGCCTGGGGCTGCTGCAGGACTTTGTGGACCCGGAGGCACAGCAGTTCATCGATGCTGTCACCCTCATGTTCCACACCACCTCGCCCATGCTCTACGTGCCGCCTGCCCTGCTCCGCCACCTTAACGCCAAGACATGGCGTGACCACGTGCACGCTTGGGATGCCATCTTCACACAGGGTAAGTGCTCTTCCTCCATGCTCCTCATGGGCTGTCCAGTGGGAATGGGAGTCCTAAGAGCTCATCTTCATCTCACCGGCACAGAAAACTTCTCCCACGTCCAGCTGCCCATCTCAGGGTCAGCGGGGCCACTGTAGGGCCACTAAAGCTAGGAAGCCTATCTGGAGCTTGTAGGGTGGAGTGGTGGGGAACCATGCAGGAGCATGAGCCGTAGCGAGCATCGCATCAAGAGGAGCAGCAGGGTCAGGGAGGTGGTGGCACTCGGGACAACAACCAGCCTCCGGGGGGGCAGAGATGGAGGACAGCTGGTTTTGGAGACAGCTGCGTCCCACCTGCTTTGCTCACCCAGCCCAGTCTAAAGAATGAGCAGCTCTACCGGAAAAAGCCACCAATATGTGGCAGCAACGTGCAAAGGTTGCCATTCAATCATCACCCTCATGGTGGCACTAAGACTTGGCAGATCAGATTAACGATGGGACTTGGTGGTCTTAAAGATCTTTTCCAGTCTGTATGGAAAGCCCTTTCCAAGACAGATGAATCTCTGACTCTGTGACTCCACGGAACGACCCCAGCCACAAAGCCCCGCAGCCTTGGGTAGCATGCAGGCACTCAGCCCATGCTCCTATATTTCCTCAGCTGACAAATGCATCCAAAATGTTTACCGGGACATCCGGCTGCAACGCAAGAGCACCGAGGAGCACACAGGCATCCTCTTCAGCCTCCTCGTGCAGGACAAGCTGCCCCTGGATGACATCAAGGCCAGCGTCACCGAGATGATGGCGGGCGGCGTGGACACGGTCAGCACCGGGCAGGGTTTTGGCGGTGGGAATGGGACAGTGCATGGTGCTGAGTGCAGCTCTGTCCTGCTGCAGACTTCCATGACTCTGCAATGGGCCATGCTGGAGCTGGCACGGTCCCCAGGCATCCAGGAGCGGCTGCGGGAGGAGGTGCTGGCGGCCAAGCAGGAGGCACAGGGGGACAGGGTGAAGATGCTGAAGAGCATCCGACTGCTCAAAGCCACCATCAAGGAGACTCTCAGGTAGCCGGAAGGCAGCGGGGAATAGGAGAGCACACAGCTCCTTTTTCTCCCCTATTTTCTGTGCCAGCACGGGAAGCCGGTGGGATGGACATCCCATATGACAGATGGATGCAGATGTCCCACAACCGGGTGACCCCATCCAACCCACAGGCTGCACCCGGTGGCGGTGACGCTGCAGAGGTACACCACACAGGAGGTCATCCTGCAGGACTACCGCATCCCCCCCAAGGTGAACCCTGGGCTATGGGGTGAGAGGGGAAACCAGGTCCATCCTCATCCCCTTCTGCTTTGTTCCAGGCCAGATATGGGGCACTAATGGGTGGCAGTGGGGAGGATGTGGGCGCAAACCCCTAGGGTCGATCCTTCTCCCCCAGACGCTGGTGCAGGTTGGTCTCTACGCCATGGGACGAGACCCTGAAGTCTTCCCCAAGCCGGAGCAGTTCAACCCTGAGCGCTGGCTGGTGATGGGCTCCAAGCACTTCAAGGGGCTGAGCTTTGGATTTGGGCCACGGCAATGTCTGGGTCGCCGGATCGCCGAGCTGGAGATGCAGCTCTTCCTCATGCATGTGAGCACTGGGTTTTGGGGTAGGGTGGGTCATGGAATCAGCTGGGTTAGAAAAGACTTTCCATCTGGGTTGGAGAAGACTTCCAGGATCACTAAGATTCCCCAAGATCACAAACCCAACCACTAACTTGACTTACCTGTCACTAAATCACGTCCCTAGTTGCCACAACCATCTCTCTTAGTGCCGTGCCTTGTCTCTTAAATTCCACATTTGTGCCCCTAAATGCCATATCCATGTGCGTTATTGCCACAACCATGCCCTTCTTGCTGGAAGGGACTTGGGGAGGATCCATCCCCACCTTCCCCCACTTGCTCTTCCTTCCTCCCAACCCAGATCCTGGAGAACTTCAAGATTGAAACCAAGCGGGCAGTGGAAGTTGGGACCAAGTTCGACCTCATCCTCGTCCCTGACAAACCCATCTATCTGACACTACGGCCCCTCCAGCGCCAGGAGTGACAAGGGGTGTCTCCAGTTGGTCCCAGCTTGGGGACACCTCCATCAGCTCAGTGCACTCAGCTTTGGCTCCAGCCCTGCTTACGCCATGGGGGAGATGGCTGTCCCCTTCCCATTTTGCTTCGCCACTGATTTGCTCTGTATTTTCTGCACCAAAAGCAGCAGATCCTTGTGAGCATGAATTTCTGGGTGTCTCTGGGTGTCTCCGGCATCCTGCCCTAGGGAGACCCCCTAGGGCAGCGGGTCCAGGGTCCGGGGTCTCCTGGGGGGTAAGGTGGAGTCCGGGGGCCATTTCTGGTGGGAGATATGAACACTTCTCAGAGGTCTACAGACCCACACTGGGGTTCACTTTCCCCATGTCTTCTGGGAAATTTGAGGCAACCCCCCCAGAATGTGAGGTGGGGCTCCTCCCAACAGCTGCCAGCCCCACTGCAGGGTATTCCCATCCCTCCAGGATGCTCACCAAGGCAGTGGCATGCAGAAGGCGTGAGGCTGAGCCCCCAAAGCCGTGGTCCTGCTCCAGCAGCCTGGTGCTCAGCTCCTGCTTTTCACGTGCCCATCTTCTCGCTGCCTCCTCCAGCTGTGAGGGACCAATATTAGACTGCTCTGGGGGGGTAACCCTGAGCCTCCCCAGATCTGGGGGTGCTGGTGATGCCCACCTGCCTCTCCATTGCTCGCCCACGGGCTTGTGCCTCCTCTAGCTTGGCCAACAGGGACAGCTTCTCTGTGCCACCAAAGGTGCCCTGTGGGAGCTGTGGGGTGCTGGGGGGTGATGGGGGGCGTGGGGGCCTTGCCAGCTCCTCCCGTAGCCGTCGGTTCTCAGCCAGCAGCAGGGCGTGCAGCTCCCCAGCTGGGGCTTCACCTGCAGGATGGAAATTTGGAGTCACAGGGGATTGTGTTGTCCTCCATGGGACAGGGAGGCACAGACTCTGGTCCCTGTGGGGTGAAAGCCCCAGAAGGGACAGATGCCCACCTGCTGGCTTCTCAGCACTCTTGGAGAGCTTATCCTGCAACATCCGCTCCATCACTCTGATCACCTGCAGGAGGGAACAGGCACGCCTCCGTGTCTCCAAGGGGGGGGGACTGCTTGTGGTGGTGGCACTCACAGAAAGGTGGGAAGGGACTATGGGTCCCATTGGCTCCCGATGCTGGGTGCACACACCTGCATCCCCAGCCCACCACGACTCACCTTCTCCTGCTGCCTCACCATCTCTTCCAGGCCCTTTGTCCTGGCCACCTCCTCCCGGCACCGCCGCAGGGCAGCTTGCTGCTGTCTGTGGGCTCGCTGGAGCAGCACCAGCTCCTTCTCCTGATCATTCTTCTGCAGGAAGGAAAGGGAAAACCCCAGGGACAGCATGGCGGGGGGCTAGTATCTAGTCCGCCTTGTGGGGGATTCCCAGAGGACCTGCTGTATGGCTCCAGGCTTCCACCTCATTCCCTCCCCATCCCCATCCCAGTACCCGGATCAGCTCATTCTGCAGCCGCTGCACGCGATCCTTCAGCTGCCGCATCTCCGCTGTGCTGGACACCAGTTCTCCCTTCAGGGTGGCTGCAAGAGCCCACGCCACACCCTCAGCACATGGAGGACAGCACAGACCCCTCCACTGTGCCAAGGAGAGGATCCTCCAACTGTCTGCCCTTCCCCACCACGCACCCAACCGGTCCAGGATCTCTTCCCGGGTCATGACATCCACGTCCCCATCAGCGAGCAGAGCACGGCCCGGCTCCTGACGCCCAGCCAGGCTGTGCCGTAGATGTCCATTCTCCACCTCCAGGCTGGTGACACGCTGGTGCAGGGACACAAGGTCACCCGCCATGCGTCTCAGTGCCAGGCGGTACCTGCTCACCTCCTGCTGGCACGGAGCACACAGTTGGTACCCTGCCACCAGTGCAGGCTATGAAACAAACAGATTTGCCCTCTTGCAACCTCTCTTCTCCATCCATCCATCCATCCATCCATCCATCCATCCATCCATCCATCC